TGCAACAAGTACTCCCTAGTCCCTGATTACTTTTATAAAATAATAGAATCTCAGGCCTAACAATGATTTTTCAGCTCTTCTCAACAACAAAATCTTTCCTTCTGCAGATGAATTTTTGACTAATTTGTGGAAGAAATATTATCAGAACAATAATACCAACCCAGAATTCCTTTTATCAGTCCACATCACTGATTTTCAATGTGGGATGACTTTTGTCCCTCTAGGAGCATTCAACAATACCTGAGGTTAAAAGTGGTGAGCAATCCTAATGGTTAGAGGCCAGGGTTGTCATTAAATGTTCCATGATGCATAGGACAGCCCACACAACAAAGATTCATCGGCTATGGAGAGTCAGCAGCAATGATGCTGAGAGTCTATACCCCACACTAAAAAAAAAAAAAAAAATCTAGCTAGCAAACTAGAGCTTTATTTTCATGTTTGCCCCTAGCCATCATCATGCTACATTTCATCTGAAATAATACTGCCACATATTTAAATAACACTGTCATATAAAACTGAAATTTAAATTTAGATCCATGAAAACTTCTGTGGGAAGGTCTGTATATATTTAAAAAATTACTCATCAAGGCATTATCAAAATAAATTGGTATACTTTCAACACCCAAAGAAGATTCAAAATACTTCTCTTTTGCATATAATCCCCTTCTGTGCTAAGAAAACCTCATAATAAGACTAATAAACTACTGATGAGACAGTCTTTTCTCTACACATGCAACTAAACCTTTGTTTAAGGTTAGTCTGCCCTCTGTTTGGGTCACATGGAACCCAGCAATCCTTGTGTGTATGTCTGTTGGAGTGGAGAACCATGGAAGCGTCATCAACTAAAAGCATTAACTGAGCTGTTGTCAGTAGTGTCCATCCTGCGCACAATGCCACACAGAGGATGCCTTCAATTTTAATGCAAAATAATTATTTCCTAAATTGCAAGGGAAATAAGATTGCTCTTTTAGTGTTGCAGAAAATCAGTTTGGAAACCAAAAGACTCTCTAATACCTCAACCACAAATGGGCCCTGGAGAAACCTAGGGATTACAAGGATTTCCAGGGATAAAATAGAGAAAAGAGTTGCGAGGCCAACTTCAGTTCAGCCAGAAAACGCCTTTCCTCCCATGAAAGGCACTCCCCCCAGACTCCAGGTGTGCAACTTTTGCACCACATGCCCATGTCTTAGAGGGGAATTTGAGGCTGGAAAGAATCAAAAGCAAAGGTGCTACTGTGGGCTTTTTGGAAACAGAGTAGGGTTTATGTGCTTAACATGCCTGCTATCTATACACACTGAAACTGAATAAAGTATTTGCATTATTGGCAGTTTCTAAAAGCCTACTGTTAATTCACTCCAGGTTTATGGCTGGATTTCTACAATAAAAATTTAACATTGTTCCAATACTTCAAGCACATACATACTTTTTCAGAGCTGAATTCTTTATACCTTGTCTATGCTCTGGGGGTCAAAACAGAAGCATTCTTGGTACGGTAACTGTTTTAGTTTTACACACATTGCTGTGCTGGCATTATCACTGGGAATTCCCAGTTGGTCACTATTTAGTATAAGCCCACCTTCCTCCCCTCTACTGGTCCTCAAGTCACACAGGATGCTCCACCGCAGCGAAACAGTAACTTTAACATACCTTCTTCTTTCTAAGAGATAGTATCCACCATAGCTAATTTGCTCAGGGCTATAATTAAGAAGCACTGTCAGTATGCTACAGAGCAAAGTAGTAAAGATGTGACAGGCATAAGTTAATCTACTCCAACTTTCAGAATCAATATTCATGTCACCAGTAGTGTTAGTGTTAATTTTAAAATAAGGCTGAATGATTTCTGGAATGTTTGCTAGAGTTTAGGAAACTGTTGGCCTACGAAAGAACAATTGCTATTTGGTCTTGAATCTCTGACATAAATTTCCTTCCCCCTTTCCTCTTTGTTTTTTCTATCCACTTATAAATAGTACTGTATGCTTTCCCTTTATTCTAACTGCTTACCACTCACCCTAGAAGTTATATTTATCGTAATTTTTATCTTATAAGGAACAGGAGAGAGGGGTAGAGAACAAAGAAACACCTTGTGGTTATTATTCTGAAAGCTGAATTTGAGGCACAGGTATTTGGTTTCTGTTTTACAACATCCATGATGCCCAATTGGAGTCAGGGTTCAACTTTTGATCCCGCTTCCTGCTAAATACGCATCCTGAAAAGCAGCAAGTGATAGTTTGAATACTTGGGTCTGCACACACTCCAGGTGAGACCTGCGTTGAGTTCCTGGCTCCCCGCCTCAGTCTGGTGCTCAGTATCAACCTGTCCGAGCCTTGAATACTAAGGGAATGTAGGGAGTAAACAATTAGGTGGGGCGTGTCTGCTTGTGTGTCTCTTTCTGTTAAATAAATAAATAAATAAATAAGTAAAGATTTTGAACTTCATTGTAGAGAACAGAAGAAAAATGAGAAAGGGAACAATAAGGACTTGAATTACACAGTAACAATAGTATGAGGCAAGGTGAGAACAGGTTTTTCCAAAACTGCTGAAAATAGACTCATTAATACATGATGCCTGACTGTAAATGGATGGCAAAAAGAAAGTATTGGAAAATATCTTTAAGTTTTATAACTCTGTTGGTAGGTAGATACAATTTCACTTTATGGGTAACAAAGTATTCATGATTAACTCTTGAAATACTAAACAAAACATGATAAAAGTGAAACTAATTGAGACCCAAGATCTCTGGAATTATTCATTGAGCCAGCTGAAGAGAATTAGTGTATTGATCCAATCAAAAAATGCAGGTTGAGTCAGCAATTCCAATCCAAGGTATTTATACCAAAGAAACAAAACATAAATCCATCAAAAGACTAATATCCTTTTAAATAAGTCAAAAAGTAGAAAGCAAGATAAACAAGCTGTAGTATATTTATATAATGAAATCTAACAGAGCAACAAAAAGAACAAATAATTGATATTATATACTAATATCTCAGAAGTATTATCCAAAGTGAAAGAAGTTAGGCAGGAAGAATTCAGATTACATAATTCCATTTATATATGAAATTCTAGAAGAGATAAAACTGCGGTTCTAAAAAGGAGATCAGTGATCACGGGGAGACAACAGGAGAAGATGAACTACAAAGAGGCACAAGAAAAAATTATGGGTTAAAAAATTCTTCCAAATTATGAGTGTAATACAGATTATATCACTACATGCATGTTCAAAATTCATTAAAGTTCACATGTCCACTTTATAGGTTTATTTTTCATAAGTAACACTTCAATAAAACAAATTTTAAAAATTGAAATTCAGATTGAGCTGAGATAAGAAATAGACGTAAGTCGGCTCTATAGACCTTTTTTTACCTAAATACTTCAGCCTCAGATCCAGATTCTTAATCCCTTAACTGCATCAGACTAAGGATCCCAGTAGCTTATGCTCTCCTTGCCACCAAGCCCTGGGGGTAGAATTAGCTTTCTCTCCCAGACAGGCCAAACACAAGGGTACTTCTAAAAGTTTATGGAAATTGGAATTAAAAGTAAATTAAGGATAATGTTGTGGTACAGTGCGCTAAGCTGCTGACTGACTTCTGGCATGCCATTTCAGAGGGCCACTTCAAGTTCTGATATCCCATTTTGGATCCATTTCCCTGCTACTGCACCTGAGAAGGCAGCGGAAGACAGTCCAAGTACTTGGGGCCCTGTCACATATGCATACATGGGATGGAAAATCAGAGGGTGGGAAATCATGTATGTGGGAAAATAGAACAACAAAAAAACAATGCTCCTATTCCTAATTTCAATCTAGTCCAAGCATGATTTAAATATACTGTTCTCCTTCAAACTCCATCATGCTTCACTTATTACTTGATCCCACTGATGCCCTCAAATGAGGTGTAAGTCTGAAATGGCTGAAAACTGCTGTTTAAGTCATACTGTCATGATTTTGACAACAAAGCAGATTTTCACCAGAAATGCTTTTTGCACATAAGCAATTACATCAACTAAAGTTACATTCAGTGATCACCGGGGATGTCCCAAAGGCTGTATTAAGATATTAGATTGGATGTATGCTATCTAATCCAGTTCAGAAAACAATTATTTTGCTTCATATCCTATGGCTTTCTTTGAAGATAAATTCTCTGAAAATAAGTAACTTGTCCATGTTATTCAATATTTAACTATTATAGAGATTGGATCTGCCTCTGAGACTATTAAAAAAACTCCCTAAAAATGCACATAACTTATGTATTAAAATAAAGTTGGGTTTTATAGTCACAAGGTGAATATTCACAAGTTAATTTCCATGTAGTTTACATCCCAGTTTACTAAATTTTAAAGGAAATGAATAATATAATTCAAATAATAAGTGCATTAAGTATTAAGTTTTGGTATGAGCTTGAACACTAAGCTTGCTGCAAATACAACAAATGCAACATATATGTATAAATACCTCTCTCAAATGTTCAGAAGTTGAATTTCAACACCATGAATCTCATTGTGCCCTTAATTTAGGCTTATTTCTTCAGTCAATTCAGAGAAATATTTGATAGGAAGAATGTACTCTGCATGTGAATTAAATCGAATTGAACTGAATCCACAGATTCAATTATTCATGTATCAAAAAATATTTAGAACATTGTATCTGTACTGAACATGTATTGATCTTTTTCTTGTAATGATTCTCAAAGAAATATAGTAAAGTGACTATTTATATTGTATTGATGAGTATAATTAAGTTAGAAATGATTTCAAGCATATGGAGGAAAAACGCTATACCATTTTTATATAAGGGGCTTAAGCATCTGCAGATTTTTGTATCAGAGGGGGATCCTGGACTCAGTCCCCTGCAGAAGTTGAGGGACAACCACAAGAAGCATGTCCTTTAATGCAAGATCACGTGTGCATTCTCATGTTCTCTCTCTCTTCAAGCTATCTCTGAAAAACGCACACTTCACCAAACACTCCAAGATTGAAAGGCTCGTCCCCTTCCTTCACTCACCTGTTCTGGAAACTTGCTCCCAGTGATCTCAGCTACAGTGTTGAAGGAATAAGCATCAGAGTAGGTCTTTGCTCCCATCTTCAGCTGAACAACAATTCTGATACCTCGAGAAGCCAGTCTTGACATCAATTCTGCATCTTCTACTGTGATGCAGGCTGTTGGGATCTTGGGCACCCCATCCTGATATTCCTGTATACCTGTGTGAGGACTTGAAAAAGAGGCCACTGATTACTTTCCAAGCGAAAAATGACTGAAATATATTTTTTGAAGCCCCTGAAGAGTGATAGTTAATCTTCACTGATCTTTGATTATGGAGGATTGGGAACAGGAGGTATTTATTTATTTATTTACTCTTGAACTCAATTTTTTACTATTGGAAAAATAATTTGGAAACATCAACTTCAAAACCATCTCACTAAGAACATCAGACAAATTAAAAATAATAATAATAATTCTGATGTTATTTTAAATCAGCAAATTGCCAGAAGCTCTGAAGGGCAATCTTAGTGTCTCTATGAGGAAGAGGTAAACACATCTGGACAAGCCAAGAGGGCATTTTGCAAGTTCAGCTAGGCTGCAGATGAGAAAATCCTCACATACACAAGAAAACCGGTCCAGATAGGCTGTGGTGTCATTGACGGGCCTGTGCTACCCAAACATGGAGGTTCAAATAAAGGATCCAGCATCAGTGGGAGAATGCAGAGGGAAAACTGATGCACAGCATCTGGCTAAACATCTACGCTCCCAGGAGGAAAAGTTCTGAATGCATCCAAGTCTATCATTTTACTGCCACAAAAATGAATATAATTTTGGCATTAAAAGAGAACTACTATTCCAACTAATTTCCAGAAACTTCTTAAATAGACACAATGAGGTTTAGATTAATTCTGTGCTGTTTCAACATCTGTACCTGCTAACAAATCTCATGAAAATAATTTTCTAAATTTCATTTTCATATGTTTTGAATTGTATCTATGAACTACATGAAATCTGTTCTCTAGGCATTAACATTACAGTAACACATAAAGTAACTAGCCATAAAACAATTACAAAAAAAATAATAAGAGGGCTTGCAGTCCCTGTTGAACTGAACTCAAGGGTAAACCACTGGCCATGGCGAATCCAAGAATGCTAAACAAGGCACAGCCATGCCAACTTAGGCTGCTCTGGGATATGAAAACAGTGAAGGAGGGACTTTTTCCAAAAACCTAACTGACAGGAAGTTTTGCTGAAGAAGAGAAAGAAAACAGTGAAAGCTCAGAGGGACAAGAGGACAGAGTTCAGAAATGCCAATATCAGTCGCTTTGAGGGGGAGCTATCAGCAGGCAGTGAGACACGGCTCACAGCCACTTCAAGTTCCTGTGTTGGGCACTTGGAAAGACTACTGAACCAGAGAAAGAGGTGGGAATGGATTATACGTGGCAATGACTGCATAGAATCCTGTTGGTCACAATGACTACAAGTCTGGATGGGAGCCACAGGGAGGAAAGAGTTCTGGCAGATAGTCATGGGGGAGCACCACATTTCTTTCTCTGATTCTCCCATGAAATGCCTGGACCAAAGCGTAGACGCTGCCATTTTCAATGCAGCCAAGACTTCCTGCGAATTGTAGCTGGTGTTAGACAAGTGAAGGCTATGTGGCTATTTTGGTGGTGATGGTGCATCCCCAGCCATGTGCAGGTACACAAGATTAAGTACTGCTGAAAGGATAAATCCGTTATCCAGCAACTATGACTTGGGGCTGGTGTCCCAGCAGGGTGCCATGCATCTGGAACTTTAAGGAACCTACACGCCCCATCCTTCTATGAGCCACAAGGGGAGGAGAGGCAGCACAATCTGAGATGGAGAATCCAGAGACAACTGGTGCTAGAAACACCACTGCTGACCAAAGTTCAGGCAAACTCTTAGGGCAGAGGGATGCTTCGACACCCTGTGACTATGGGAGTCTTACACATGAAGACTAGGAAATATGTGACTTCCTGATAGTCTGTGGTATATGGCTCTGTCTGAGCACACAGAGAACTTACAGATCTTTTGTGTGACTCATATGCTGGTAGGTGGGGGTTGTAGTCACTGTGGAATAACCTCAGGTATTGAACACCTTGAAACAGAGGAGGTAAAGCAGTGAGTCCATTAACAGTTGTGGTCAGTGTTTTCCCAAAGTTGACAAAAGAAGATATCAAACATGCCCAGCTTGGATGCCACCCTGGACTACCACCACACACTGGAGCACAAACCAGAGTATGCTCTCTACCCTAACACAGAGAGCAGTCACTCCACTAAGGCACAGAAGCATAGTTCAAAGAAAAAAGCATCGGAGGAGATATATCACAAGTGTTTCCAGAAATGACTAGCAATAAAAGGAGAAACACAAGAAACAAGACACAATATGAAACCCTCAAGGGAACAAAACAGCACTTTGTTATTAAGATGTTAAGATGAAAGGATTGAGGAAATGTCTGAAAACAATTTCAAAAATATTATCATAATATTACTGAAAAAGAGGAGCAAATGACGACATGATGACAAGATTGAGATCTTGAAGAGCAATTTAACTGAAATATCAGAAATGAATAGTTAAATATGGCAAGCAAGAAAAATACAATGGAAAGCATTAACAGCAGATTTGGTGAGGGGAAATAAAGAATCTCACAGATGGAAAACAATCTTTGGAAATATCGCAAACTGACAATAAGAAGAAGAAATGAGAAAATTAAAAATAGTGACCAAGATGTGTGTGATACTCGCATATATGGTACCAGTTGAAGCCATGAAAAGAAACAATGGATTTGAAAGCCTATTCAGTGAAACAATAACTGAAAACATCCTTAATAGGGTGAAAGGGATACATCCCAGAAGGGGAAGGACATAAGACTGAAAATAGGCATCCTCAGAGAAGATGCTCACCAATGCATATTATAGTCAAGCATTGTAGGGTAAAACATAACATTTTTAAAATGTCTATGAGAAACATACATATAACTCTGAACACAAATGGCCCAAACTCTATAATCTAAATATACAGACTGGCTGAATGGGTTAAAAGAAAGACCTGTCTATTTGCTACTTACAATAAACATAGCTCACCACTAAAGATACACAGACTGAAAGCAAAAGGATGGAAAAAGATATCCCACATCAACAAAAAAGGAAAACGAGCAGCTGTATCCATTCTAATAACAGACAAATAAGATCATTAAAACAAACACTATTAAAGAAGATAAGGAAGGGCATTACATAATGAAAAAGGGATAAATTCAATAGAAATTGACTATAAGGAATGTATATGCACCCAGTAACAAGGCAGTTGGCTACTTAAAACAACTATTTATGGATCAAAGGGAGACATAGACCAACAGAATAACAATGGAGAATTTCAAGACCCCACTTTCATCAGCAGATAGATCAACTACGTAGAAAATAAACAAAAGAAACTAGAGGCTAATAGAAATTATGGATATATTGGACATAACTGACGATCAAAGACCATTTCATCCCATGGTTTGAAAATGCTTATTTACTTCTTCTATTCATGGAATATAGTCTAGGATAGACCACATGATAGACCATAATGTAAGCCTCTGCAAATAAAAAAAGTATGAAATCATACCGTATATCTTTTCTGACTGCAAAGGAATGACACTGGAAATCAACAACCAAAGAAACTATAAAATAAGCAAACACATGCAGTTAAAAGACACAATACTGATTGAATAATGGGTCATAGAAGAAATGAAAAGGAAATAAAAACTTTTGGAAATTAAAGTTTAGAGCACAACATATCCAATCTTTCTTTAAGGAAGACTTGTTTATTTTTATTGGAAAGGCAGATTTACAGAGAGGAGAGACAGACAGGAAGATCTTCCATTTGCTGGTTCACTTCTCAGGTGATTGCAATAGCCAGATCTGAGCCAATCTGAAGGTAGGAGGTTTTTATGGTTCTCCCATATGGTATACAGTGCCAAGGCTTTGGGCGATCCTCTACTAATTTCCCAAGCCACAAGCAGTGAGCCAGACAGGAAGTGGAGCAGCTGGGATATGAGCCAGCATGCCTATGAGGATCCTGGCGCATACAAGGGGAGGATTTAGCCATTGAGCCATTATGCTGGGCCAAGAGTACAACATATGAGAGTTTACAGAATATGATCAAAAGAAGTGTTAAGTGGGAAGTTCCTTAGCCTGTGCCTGTGTCAGTTAATCATAAAGGCATCATATAAATTATCTGTCAATGCATGTCATGAACCTAGAAAAACAATTACAAATCAAACCCAATACTATTAGAAAGAAATAAAGGATGAAATTAGAGAACAAATAAACAAAACTGATTAAAAAAATAAACCAGATCAGTGATATGAAGAACTGTCCTTTTAAATCAACAAAATAAATACGTTACTAGCCCAACTAACAAAAAAAGAGGAAGAGGACACAAATCAACAAAACCAGAGACAAGAAGGGAAATATAACAGACACCTCATACATACAAGGAATCATCGGGAATTATTATACACAGCTATAAACCAACAAATTGGAAAACACAAAAGAAGTGGATAGATTTTTGGACACATAACATCTATAAAAATTGATTCAAGATGGCATAGAAATATAAATCGACCAATAACTAAGATAGAGACTAAATCAATAATAAAGGCTTCCCAAAGAAAAACCAAGGACCAGATGGTTTCAATTCTGAAATCCACCAAACTTTTTCACAAAAACTAATTCCAATTCTTCTCAAGCTATTTAAAATATTTGAAAGGGAGGGAATCCTTCAAAACTCCTCTGATGAGATCAGCATGCCCTTAATTCCAAAACCAGAAGAGATACAACAAAGAAATCGAACTACAGACCAATGTCCATGATAAACATTAAGGCAAAAAAACAAAAATCCTCACCAAATTACTAGCTAATTGAATCCAACAACACATCAGAAAGATCATTCACCAGGATCAAATGGAATTTATCCCTAGCATGCACTGATGGTACAACCATATGCAAATCAATGCACATGATATACTACATTAATAAGCCAAAGACTGAAAACCATATTATTATCTTGAAAGATGCAGAAAAATATTTTCATTAAACATGACATACTTTTACGAGAGAACCTAAAGCAAATAGGACTGGAAGGAATTTCCCTCAGCACAATGGAGTCATTATATAAAAATCACATAGCCAGCATCTTACAGAACGAAGAAAAGTTAGAAG